CCGAGTGCCGTCACCCCGAGGAGCCCTGCCCCACTGCAGCACGGCAGCCCCGCCGACCATGCCGGGCGCCGACCCTGCACTCCCGTGCCCGCCCCTCCCAGGGGTGGTTCGGGGTGCGGGTCCCTCCGGGCTGGGGATGGCTCGGGTGGCTTTCGAGTGGGCTGGCCTGCTGAGTGACCTGCCTCATTGGCTCACAGGGCAGCGTGCCTCCGGTCATGGCGTTCCACCTGGGCTCCCTGGGCTTCCTGACCCCCTTCAACTTCGAGAACTTTCAGTCCCAGGTTACTCAGGTGATACAGGGTGAGTCGGAATGTTCCAGAACCCACGAGCAGTTTTGAACAGGGGATCATCTTATGTGATTTGGGGGCTTTTTTAACAATGCAAAGAGCAACACTTGAGTGTTTCGGGATTCAGAGAATTCTAAAATTTGAACGAGTCAGACGTTTTTTCTTAGCGGTGAGAAGTTTGAGCTGATCACAGGTTTAGGCTACCATACGTGTCGAGTAGCAGTGAATTGGTTTTCACAGAAGCACAGGGTGTTGCCCTCCATTTGGGAGAAGAAAGGGGGGTCCCTGGTCGATGGGAGCGTCTCTCTTCCTGCAGTACCACCGCCCCCATCCCTGCTGACCTCCCTGGGTGTGACCCCCGCCGGCCCCCAGGGAACGCAGCTGTTGTCCTCCGGAGCCGGCTGAGGGTCCGGGTGGCGAAGGAGCTCCGAGGGAAGAAGGCGGCCGCCCCCAGCGGGGTCAGCGAGAACGGGGTGCCGGCCGCAGCCCCGGACACAGAGGTCGGCAAGCAGCTCATGCAGTACCAGGTCTGTGGGTGTGTCCCCCACGGGGCTCAGGGCCTCGCCCTCGGGCAGGGGGTACAGGGCGGCGGCGGCTTTGGTCTGGACACCCCCCAGCCCTGTCCTCGGGACCTTCCAGGGGGCCCAGGAGCAGCTCGGCGCTGCCCGGCCCCCTCAGCTTGCGGTGACCTCACCCACAGGTCTTAAACGAGGTGGTGATAGACAGAGGCCCATCCTCATACCTGTCCAACGTGGACGTCTACCTGGATGGGCACCTCATCACCACGGTGCAGGGCGACGGTAGGTGGGCGTCAGGCCCGCCTGGGGGCTGCACGTGGGGTGGGGGCGGGCGCTTGACCGTGACCCTCAGCCTGTCCCGCAGGCGTGATCGTCTCCACCCCAACGGGCAGCACGGCGTACGCAGCCGCCGCCGGAGCCTCCATGATCCACCCCAACGTGCCGGCCATCATGATCACGCCCATCTGCCCCCACTCGCTGTCCTTCCGGCCCATCGTGGTTCCTGCAGGGGTCGAGCTGAAGGTCAGAGCCCCGCGCCCTTGTGGGTCGGAGCTGGTGTGGGGCCTGCAGCGCTGACCTCCTGCCTTGCTGGGTGATGGAGGGGCTTTATCCACCCTGGTCTCCAACGTGTGGCCTGCGCCCCCAGGGGTCCGGTTGGCGGGGGTGGTGTTGAGAGCCGGGCCAGCCCTTCAGGCGGGCTCTCAGCCTGAGTGGGTGGGGACGGTCCTTGCTGGAGGGGTTGGGGGCCCACAGGTGAGGAAAGGCCGCTGCCCGGCGTGTCCCACGCGGCGCCCTGGCGTCTGGCCCCGCCCACGCCCACTCTTCCCCTGCCCCTGCCCCCCTGCAGGCCACCCCGGGCCAGTGCGTCCCTGTTGTGAGCCCTGGGTGGGGCTGCACTTGCTGGATGCAGAGAGCTGCGGGGGGCGGGGGGG